CCTTAAATGTGCATATTCAGAATTTGTCTGTATCATGTAGCATCCAAATAAGGCTTTTGTATGGACAAATAATTGAATATTCCATTACAATGGCAAAAAGATGTTTACCTTTTAGATTTCTAAATTAAACTGGAATATTGGCTTAACTGGGGAATATTCATAGGGTCAATATGTTCACGACACTTGACTATATTCCGATATTAATCTGAATTCATGTGCATGTAAATTAAGTTATTGATTCTGACCCTTGCCCTACTTAAATAACAACCCTCAAACGCACAAGACGAGCTGCTAAAGAACAGAGACTCCTCAGGAAGAGCCACAGCAACGTGTCCTCCTCCCCTGCACTCAGACAGACAGCGTTTCTATTTATACATAAGCGTCTGATTATGCTGTGAGTCTGCAGCTCAGATGATATTAATGCTGCTCTCAGCACACGCCCCAGCATGCTTCACACCCGCAACCAACCCTGGAAAAACACAAGAGCCACTTGTCTTCCTTCTATTAGATTCTGTCTGTCCTTGATGCGCAGCGTTCAAAATATCAGTTATGCCAAGGTTTATCTTTAGTATCTTTCCACAAATACTGTATTCAGATTTGTCCTCGGAAATTAATGCAGGTTACGTCATTTTTGTGGTAACTAGGGATGTGTGCTTCTATTTTCACAATCAACCAGTCTGAGAAAGACTAACCAGTACTAAGCCTTTTATAAAAAGGCTGATCACCTGACTTTAATCTCGTTTTTTTTTTCTTGCATCTGAAGTTTGATCATGAATACAGCTTTTATAATAGCACAGGTAAGAACCAGAAAGGCACAGATACCATCACAAAACAAAACATGTACTGTCATTTAACTACTACTGTAAGAATTTCCATAAAAGCACAGCAACTCTTAGCATTTGTGTCCGTGTGTCTTTGGCACAATGAGCATCTCTGAAGGTGTGATGGCGTGCTGTTTGAGCAGTGCGGCACGCTGACAGAAGGCTTGCCAATCGTCACTGACCTTCCTCCCGTAGGGCACCTTCTGTCCACCATGCATACTGTACAAACGCAGGAGAAATATCTGCCTGCTGCACAAACCTCCACAATAAACAGCTCTGCAGCCAAGCCAAGAAAAACATCTACCCTGTGCTTTTGGATATATTTCAGTTTTGAACAGGTTCATAGCTGGGAATTCTGTCTCTCTCGAGTGGATATTGCTTTTTAATTAGGTTTAATCAGGCTACTGTGGTAAATATAGCACGATATATGCCTTTACAGGAGCAGGAGAGATTGTGCTTAGGTGATGTGAATTTGAATCGGTTAAATGGCATTTTCCAGTCTCATTTCTTATTTATTTAGCTTAATATAAAGAGTTAACTACAATCCATCCATAGTAGGTTGATTCCTGTGAAAAGTATAACCATTTTGGCTCTGCATCACTACATACGTATTATTGTTGAGAATCCGAAACACTGGCTCAAGCAATGGCATGAATTTGGGGTGGGACTATATATGTGTCTAATTAATGCCATCCAAGATTAGGATGAGTTTTTGTTTCCTCATCATATTTGGAGAAATGTGTCATTCCATCACTGTCTCAGCAATGGATGCTCTGCAGTGAATGGGTGCCATAGGGCCGTTTCTCAATATGCGTTCTTCAGCAATCTTGCGTCCTTGTGATCTTGCTCTACGTCATCATTAACCGTCGAAGTTCAATTCCAATACTCAAGAACGCAAGTACAGAGGACGCATGAAAGTGCTCGGATGCGTTCTTGATATCGAGGATGCATCGAATGCAGACTTGAGAGAATTAATTTTAACTTTTTAGCAGGTTTCATAAATTCTGTATAAACTGTATGTGAGTTTGCTGTTTTTATTGCATACAAGGTCTGTTCAAAAATAACACACATTGGCACAAATTGTGTAACTATAATACATTAGTGTGTAAAAATTTTCAACACACTTACTATATTATCGGGAATAACACATTGGTTGAGTTACAATTAACACAAAAAGAAGACGCTGCGGGCGGCCGGTGTACGGAAGCCTGCAAGCTTTAACCGCGGATGATTCATTTTCCACTCAAGTGGAGTCTGGGGTGTGCGATGCACAGCATCGTCTGCGATAATATGGTAAGTGTTGTTGTAATGATGTGCGATCTGACATTATCAAGTAACTTCTAGGTTACTAGGTAATCACCGAATCACACACCGAGTGCACGCAAGTTGATTTATTAGTGTATTAAAACTCAAAATTCACGGCATTCTAAATTGTAAACGGCAAAAATGCTTCTGTATGCTCTTTATATTTATATAATTATATAGATAACTTGATCTATATCACACAAAGAGTGCCGTTTTTCTGCAGATATCAGCATGAACACATTTAATAATCATTTTATACAAGTTCAGTAAAGCAATAAGTGACTTA